AAAAAAAATCTCTATGATGTTTACCTCTCACTTCCTAGTATTCTGATTTTAGCATGTTAAAACAGATCTTACATAAATTAGGAATATTTATCTGAAGTAATGAGGAAGCCAGTATTTGTAATCATTTAAATTATAAGCTATAATTTATTTTTTATACGTGTTTCCTCCTTTTCTGGTCTCCATTATTAAGTCTCCCAAACGAAGTTTGGGAAGACTTATTGTTTTTGCTCAGTTCTTATTATTATTATTATTATTCTTCTTCTTCTTCTTCTTCTTCTTCTTCTTCTTCTTCTTCTTCTTCCGCCGCTTTTAAATTTGAACTTGTCCGCACCCGTTCTCCAAAACCGCTTGTCGGATTAACTTAGGGTTTCGCAATATGTTAGACTAACATGTCTAGTGGTGCAATCAGGGTTTTGTTTTTGCAATGGGGTTTATAAAGGGGTACTTTGAGGGGCAAAAAGAAAAGAGGGTTTTACTATAGAACCCTATGGGATTTTATTTTTTTAAATTTTCAAATGATTATAAATTGAAAACCGTTCGTGATAGACACAAACTTTTTAATTGAAAATGTTCTAAATGATGAAGCCCATTAAATGAAATACAGGGTTAGTCCCCAGGGGTCACCCCCACCCCCTGCCATTTAAGAAAGTTCTAATACCTTGTAAGTGGTCAAGATCCCCACCCCTAAACCATATATATTCTGGTTTGTCATGCTAAGATGGTTTGAATGATATACAGGGTTAGTCCCCAGGGGTCATCCCCACCCCCTGTCATTTGAGAAAGTTCATATATCTTGTAAATGGTCGAGATCCCCACCCCTAAACCATATATATTCTGGTTTGTCATGATAAAGTACATCAAATGTAATACAGGGTTAGTCCCCAGGGGTCACCCCCACCCCCTGCCATTTAAGAAAGTTCTAATATCTTCTAAGTTGTCAAGATCCCCACCCCTAAACCATATATATTCTGGTTTGTCATGCTAAGATGGTTTGAATGATATACAGGGTTAGTCCCCAGGGGTCATCCCGACCCCCTGCCATTTTAGAAAGTTCTAATATCTTGTAAATGGTCGAGATCCCCACCCCTAAACCATATATATTCTGGTTTGTCATGATAAAGCACATCAAATGTTATATAGGGTAAGTCCCCAGGGGTCACCCCCACCCCCTGCCATTTAAGAAAGTTCTAATATCTTCTGAGTGGTCAAGATCCCCACCCCTAAACCATATATATTCTGGTTTGTCATGCTGAGATGGTTTGAATGATATACAGGGTAAGTCCCCAGGGGTCATCCCGACCCCCTGCCATTTGAGAAAGTTCTGATATCTTGTAAATGGTCGAGATCCCCACCCCTAAACCATATATATTCTGGTTTGTCATGATAAAGCACATCAAATGTTATACAGGGTTAGTCCCCAGCGGTCACCCCCACCCCTTGCCATTTGAGAAAGTTCTAATATCTTGTAAATGGTCGAGATCCCCACCCCTAAACCATATATATTCTGGTTTGTCATGATAAAGCACATCAAATGAAATACAGGGTTAGTCTCCAGGGGTCACCCCCACCCCCTGCCATTTAAGAAAGTTCTAATATCTTCTAAGTGGTCAAGATCCCCACCCCTAAACCATATATATTCTGGTTTGTCATGCGAAGATGGTTTGAATGATAGACAGGGTTAGTCCCCAGGGGTCATCCCGACCCCCTGCCATTTGAGAAAGTTCTAATATCTTGTAAATGGTTGAGATCCCTACCCCTAAACCATATATATTCCTATTTGTCATGATAAAGTACATCAAATGTAATACAGGGTTAGTCCCCAGGGGTCACCCCCACCCCCTGCCATTTAAGAAAGTTCTAATATCTTCTAAGTTGTCAAGATCCCCACCCCTAAACCATATATATTCTGGTTTGTCATGCTAAGATGGTTTGAATGATATACAGGGTTAGTCCCCAGGGGTCATCCCGACCCCCTGCCATTTTAGAAAGTTCTAATATCTTGTAAATGGTTGAGATCCCTACCCCTAAACCATATATATTCCTATTTGTCATGATAAAGTACATCAAATGTAATACAGGGTTAGTCCCCAGGGGTCACCCCCACCCCCTGCCATTTAAGAAAGTTCTAATATCTTCTAAGTTGTCAAGATCCCCACCCCTAAACCATATATATTCTGGTTTGTCATGCTAAGATGGTTTGAATGATATACAGGGTTAGTCCCCAGGGGTCATCCCGACCCCCTGCCATTTTAGAAAGTTCTAATATCTTGTAAATGGTCGAGATCCCCACCCCTAAACCATATATATTCTGGTTTGTCATGATAAAGCACATCAAATGTTATACAGGGTAAGTCCCCAGGGGTCACCCCCTCCCTCTGCCATTTAAGAAAGTTCTAATATCTTCTAAGTGGTCAAGATCCCCACCCCTAAACCATATATATTCTGGTTTGTCATGCTGAGATGGTTTGAATGATATACAGGGTTAGTCCCCAGGGGTCATCCCAACCCCCTGCCATTTGAGAAAGTTCTAATATCTTGTAAATGGTCGAGATCCCCACCCCTAAACCATATATATTCTGGTTTGTCATGATAAAGCACATCAAATGTTATACAGGGTTAGTCCCCAGCGGTCACCCCCACCCCTTGCCATTTGAGAAAGTTCTAATATCTTGTAAATGGTCGAGATCCCCACCCCTAAACCATATATATTCTGGTTTGTCATGCCAAGATGATTTGAATGATATACAAGGTTAGTCCCCAGGCATCACTAATGCATATAACTTTACTGGACCAAACCAATTTTCACTGGACGTTGCCCAATGTCAGGCGACCCTGGGAATTACGAATTATGGGAGCTTCGTTTGGGAGACTTCGTAACAGCATCCTGTTACAATCATTTCTTGTTATACTGGAAATCTATTCCTAGAATTCAGTTGAAATATAGTTTTGCTAGTCATGTAATGTTTTTGCTTCATACCATACTATACTGTCCTTAGGCATTTTTGCTTCATACCATACTATACTGTCCTTAGGTCTAGAGTGGCACACAGTTCTTTGCCTCAACAAGATCATATATTTATTTGATTTATTGCATAATATATTGATAGTCCTGCATTTATAAAAATTTTGAATATGATTATCAGAAATCCACCAATCAGAATGCTGGATTTTGTGTTTTGAGCACAAATATTGTACTCCGAGTACTGAGTAAAGTTTTATGCCTGAAAGGCTTGACAAATGCATGGAATATTTGCCACTGGATGTTAAGCTAACACCAATCAATCAATACTGATGTTCAATACAGATTTAAATACAAAAAAGTCTTGCTTAAAATGTCAATTGAATTTGCTGGGTAGAATTGTTGATTTTTGTATTTTCTACAAATGCCAAATTGAAATTGATATGAAAGATTTAATTCCATTTTCAAAAGCATGTTGTTTTACATGGGAAATTAATTTAAGACATAAATTTGTTATTAAGTATTAGATTTAAGGTTAAATGCACTAAATATGCATCTGCATTAAAATTAACTTATATAAGTGCACGTAACGCAGTTTTTATACATATATAAAATCTGATGCCTTTTGGGTAATATTTTCAATGCGGTTTGATTGGTTTAAATTACTCAAAACAATGGAAATTGGTCCAATGACGTTACATTATTTACATTTTGGGGTACGAACAATGAAATTACACATAGTACTTTAGATTCTGATACGGCAAATTGGAGTATGTCTAGAAAAAGCGGGAATTTCTCGCTGCATTGAAAACCTGTTGGTGACCTTCTGCTGTTGTCTGTTCTATGGTCGGGTTGTTGTCTCTTTGACACATTCCCCATTTCCATTCTCAATTTTATTTGCATCATTTCATGTATGGTGTAGTCATTATGATGTTGTTACTGATTCCGAAGAAGCCAAGATTCTAAGATCTTGTGCAATTTGTGGAATCAGTATTATTTGTGGGATAACAATTTTTGTGGATTTTGTGGGTATAGGTGATCCATGAATTCAAATTTCAAGAGAAATGGAAACAGAGAATGTGTCAAAGAGACAACAACCTTACCAAAGAGCAGAAAATAGCTCAAGGCCACCAATGGGTCTTCAATGCAGCAGTTCAGCTAAATGGATGCCACACTAAAATCTGAAACATATAAATGAACCAAAATTTAAAAACACACAACACTTACAAAGGCCAGAGGTTCCATACTTGGGACAGGCGCAAAAATGTGGCGGGGTTAAACATATTTTGTGAGAGCTCAACCCTCCCCCCAACCTCTAGCCGATGTGTAATAAACAAACTCACAGTAATACGCACAGTAAAACTCAGTTTAAAAGAAGTCCAAGTCTGATATTAGAATAGGTAACAGAAGAAACTAAGCAAAACGACAATGATCAACATAAATTAAAAGAGGACTACTAGCAGTTACTGACATGCTAGCTCCAGACCTCAATTAAAAGAAAGATATTAAAAGGACGTTCAAACTCATAAGTTGAAAATAAACTGACAACACCATGGCTGAAAAGGAAAAAGACCAACAGACAAACAACAGTACACAAAACACAACATGGAAAACTAAAGACTGAGCAACATGAACCCCACTAAAAACTGGGAGTGATCTCAGGTGCTCCGGAAGGGTAAGCAGATTCTGCTCCACATGTGGCACCTTTCATGTTGCTCATGTAAGTACAAACCTGTGCTGAGTTGAACTTTTAACCTAAACTGATCGAAAGATTATGTCTTCCTCTTCTGAAAATCAAGCACAATCCCTCCCGCTAGGGGTTTAGTATCATACCATCAGGAATTATACAAGATGAACATATATATTTTTGTACATGTACATCTTGTATACATAATTTGGCAAAACTATGAATTCCAATATCCATGAAAATATAATTTCTCCTCGATCCACGATAATTGGTATCCACAATAATAAATGAATCCACAGTAACAGAATGTTCGGAGGATAAGCAAGATATTAAACTTTTTTATTTATTTTTCAGGTGAAAAACCTTACTCTTGTCCATTAGATGGATGTGACAAAGCCTTCCCACAGTTATCAAACTTGCAGCATCATATACGTAATCATGATAAGTTAGCCGAAAGTCAATACCAGTGTCACTTGTGTGATAGGGCTTATCCCAATGAAGCTACGCTGAAGGCCCATAACACAAGGGTTAGTATTAGGTCCTCTATAGGGCCACATGAGTGCAATATGATAGGGCTTATACTAAAGGCCCATAAAGCTAGGGTTAGTATTAGGTCCTTTAAAGGCCACATGAGTAGAGTATGATAGGCCTATCCCAATGAAGCTATGCTATAGACCCTTAACACAAGGATTAGTATTAGGTCCTTTAAAGGCCACATGAGTACAGTATAATAGGGCTTATCCTAAAAGACCATAAAACAATGGTTAGTATTAGGTCCTTTATATATGCTATAGGTCAACACTAGGATTAGTAGGTCCTTTAAAGGCCACATAAGTAAAGAATGATAGGGCCTATCCCAATGAAGCTACGCTATAGGCCCTTGACACAAAGGTTAGTATTAGGTCCTTTAAAGGCCACATGAGTAAAGAATGATAGGACCTATCCCAATGAAGCTAGCTATAGGCCCTTAACACAAGGATTAGTATTAGGTCCTTTAAAGGCCACATGAGTAAAGTTTGATAGGGCCTATCCCAATGAAGCTACACTATAGGCCCTTGACACAAAGGTTAGTATTAGGTCCTCTAAAGGCCACATGAGTAAAGAATGATAGGGTCTATCCCAATGAAGCTAGCTATAGGCCCTTAACACAAGGATTAGTATTAGGTCCTTTAAAGGCCACATGAGTAAAGTTTGATAGGGCCTATCCCAATGAAGCTACGCTATAGGCCCTTAACACAAAGGTTAGTATTAGGTCCTTTAAAGGCCACATGAGTCCAATATGATAGGATCTGATGAGTTAAGGCTTTATGAACTATTTTTTCTTATAATGTGCTGTTGCACCAGTGTCCCAGGTTAGTGGGAGTGTTAGGTGCCCTAAAACATGTTTAACCCCCCCCCCCCCATGACATTCTGTATGTGCCTGTCCCAAGTCAGGAGCCTGTAATTCAGTGATTTTTGTTGCTGTATATCATATTTTTTTTATAGTTTATTGTTTTATACATAAATCAGGCTGTTAATTTTCTTGTTTGAATAGTTTCACATTTGTCATTTCGTGGCCTTTTCTAACTTGCTCTGCAGTATGAGTTTGGCTCATTGTTGTAGGCCGTATGATGACCAATAGGTACTTATTTCTATATATGTCATTTGGTCTCAGGTGGAGAGCTGTCTCTTTGGCAATCATACCGCATCTTCTTATTTTTAAACTTTTATTGATTAATGGAATGAAATTGAAAAACGAATTCCCTTTCACTATAAAGTTGCAAGCTGTAACAGGCTCTGCAGTAAAAAAAATGTAATCAATTAATTCGCACTCAAATTCATCCTTGTCAGTGTAGAAATGTGTACAAGTTATGTAAGATTTTTAAAATGCTTTTTTTCACTAATGTGAAAAGACAGTTAAATGCAGCATTTAATATTTAAGTTATTATTAAATGAACTTTCCTTTAAAATGTGGGATAAATTCAGAAAGCCTTTAAATAGCTATAAATCTAGAAATTAATAATCATAAATACTTCAAAGAAAAAATTTCTGTCTGGATATTTTAGTCAAAATTGCACACTTTCAGTTTTAAAAGTTTTTCCAAACAGGATATTGTATTTAAAACGGTATTTAATTACAATTAAGGACGTGAAGTTCATACTGAGTAAAGCTGGTGTAAAAATGTATTGTATTCTTGTCTTTCAGTTTTGCTTATGTACTTTGTCTATAGAGTGTCTATATGCCATTTTGTTTTTCTTTGTTGAAATAGTTATTTGTTTTTATAGTGATTAGGATTATATTAAAATGTTGACTGCTGTACCCCAATTTTTGACATTTTACCTTTTATGTGTGTTTGTTTGCTCACACATTGTTGTCAATATAATGGAATTCTATACTGTCATACAAGTAAGAGGTTTAGCTAGTTATAAAACCAGGTTTAATCAACCATTTTCTACGTTAGGAAATGCCTGTACCAAGTCAGGAATATGACAGTTGTTTTCCATTCGTTGATGTGTTTGAGCTTTTGATTTTACCATTTTATAAAGGACTTTCTGTTTTGAATTTCCTTTGGGGCTTGGTATTCTTGTTGTTTTACTTCTTTTTTTTTTTAATCACAATGAGGTCATGTTCTGTCTGTTCTGATTAAGAATTTTTAATCCAAAATGAATGGAGATTTCAAGTGCCTTTTAGGAATGAGTAAGCCATTTGACCCAAGGTCAGTCGGAGTAAATGACATCATTGAACAATCGACTCTTATTGTGAAGTAAAAGTTTGGGAAAATGCATGAATGTGAAAGATGCTATGCCACAAACTCTGCATGTTATGAACTAACTAACTAACTAATGCTCTTCATGCCGGCTGGCATATAAGGCTGATACCAGGTCTCTCCACTGTTGTCTGTCCTTTGCAATCTTTTCCATTTCACCTCTGGTCTTTCCCATGCTTTTAAATTCACTGTTAATTGTCCTTCTCCATGTTTCTTTTGGTCTTCCTCTGTTTCTTTTACCTTCCGATGGTGTCCATTTTAGAGCTTTTTTGGAGATGTTATTCTGATCTTTTCTTAAAGTGTGTCCTAGCCATCTGAATCTCCGTTGTTTTATGGTGGTCATCAGATCTTTTTGTCCTGTTCTTTCATACAGTTCTTTATTAGATATCTTTGCTGGCCAATATATCTTACAAATTTTCCTCATACATTTGGTGTGAAATCCAGAGAGTCTCTGGCTGTCTTTCTATGTTATTCGCCAGCATTCTGCACCATACAACAAGATAGAAAGCACATTACTCTGGTAGATCAATATTTTTGTTTTTTCACTTGTGTTGCCTCTCCACCATATTTTATTTAGTTGGTGAAAAGATGTTCTGGCCTGGAGTCTGTTTGAGATGTCTTTTTCTGTTGCATTGTTTTTGCTGAGAAAACTGCCCAGATAGGTAAAGTCGTCTACTTCTTCTTCTGATTCACCCTTTAGTTTGATTGCAGTGAAGGTAGATGTAAGCTGCATTGTTTTTGTTTTCTTCTTGCTGATGTTCAATCCAATTTGGTGTGCATATTTGGCTAGATCTTGGGTTTTCTTTTGTAGATGGTCAGCATTGCTTAAAAGTAGAGCTATATCATCTGCAAATTCAAGATCTTCCAGCATTGTTGTTAAGTTCCATCTAATTCCTCTATTTTTATTCCCTTTTGCTTGCCTCATTACCCAATCAATAGCAACAAGGAAAAGCATAGGTGACATGATGCATCCTTGTCGTACTCCACTGGTGATATTGAACCAATTGCTTATTTTGTTGTTGTGGATAACGCTACATAAGAAGTTGTTGTAGAAGATCTTGATTATTTGGATGAGTTTTTCTGGGCATCCATATGCTTTGAGGATCTGCCATAGACTTTCTATGTGGATACTATCAAAAGCCCTTTCAAAAGCGACGAAATTTATATGTAATTTGGTGTTCCATTCTATGCACTGTTCCATGATGTTTTAAAAAGTGAATATGTGATCCATGCATCCAACCACAGGTCTAAACCCTGCTTGTTCCTTTCTTATAATTTTATCTATTGCATAGCTGAGTCTCATGCAGATAACTTTGCAGAAAACTTTACTAGGTACCGATAGTAGTGTGATTCCACGCCAGATTGTGCAGTCCATCTTATTACCCTTCTTCTGTAGTAAGTTTTACGAACAGCAAAGGACAACTGTTTAGAGGGTTCCACATGTCAGAGTTCTCCTATATCAAGGAAATTTTTAATATTGTGTTGTTTCTAGGAATTATAGCATCACATTCATAAGAATTTATTAGAAAATCAGTACAGACATCATCACTTTCAAACATTACAATTATACTAAAAGGCCCTTGGAAAACTCAGACATTACAATTATACTAAAAGGCCCTTGGAAAACTCAAACATTACAATTATACTAAAAGGCCCTTGGAAAACTCAAACATTACAATTATACTCAAAGGCCCTTGGAAAACTCATACTAAAAGCCGCTTGGAAAACTCTAAAACATTTCAATTATACAAAAAGGCCCTTGGAAAACTCAAACATTACAATTATACTAAAAGGCCCTTGGAAAACTCAAACATTACAATTATAATAAAAAGCCCTTGGAAAACTCAAACATTACAATTATACTAAAAGGTCCTTGGAAAACTCAAACATTACATTTATAATAAAAGGCACATGGAAAACTCAAACATTACAATTATAATAAAAGGCACATGGAAAACTCAGCATCTCGTTCAAACATTACAATGATGCTATAAGGCCCTGGGGAGACTCCTTATCCAGTTGCAGTCCAAATTTCCCACCCTTCATCTCAGTTTACATACCTTACAGAACCTAGGGATTGTATTAATGGTTAATTTGTTCTCATCTTGAATATGCATGAAATATTTGGCACTGGACATAAAGCAACTATCCATCAATCAAACAATCGACCACTATACTGTCTCCATGCCCAATTTCTAGCATATTTCAGAATCTTTAACTGACAAATGGATCAGTCATTGATTTAATTTTTGAAAAATAATAAACTAATTCTAATAATTGGATTGTGCTGATAGAATTCTCTCTCTTCCATTTCAGATGCATGTCCATTCCAAGTTGATTTCTGATCTGCAAAAATCACCACTGTCTCAACCAAACACGTCTGTCTCACCGGAGGATACCGTCGTCTCTGATCTGCAGCCACGACAAAGAAAAAGAAAGGCATCTCGACCACAACATATCAACAATCGATCAGCAATACCATTTAACCATTCAGAAATGGAAAATCGCATTTACAATAATTATATGAACAATTATTCAAAAGATAATAGACCAGAAGGTTATGTGTATATCTTGGACAGTGATGATGATGAAAATGTCCCAGACATTCCAATGAAAAAATCCGACATTTCCAGCAATAATAATTGTTACAGCAGCAGTGTGTCTCGAAGTGATAACTTTTACATTGCACAGAGGTCACAAGAAGGTCAGTCAAAAAATTTGTCGTCTGCAGAAGATGAGGACAAACATTTTGGCAGAAATAATTCATCCAGTGTTCAAGTTAATAATTCTAATTTTAGGTATGTAGATGAAGATATCTATAGATTACAAATGTCTGATACCAGGAGCCAAAGCTTGCCTAAACTGTCCAAAAACAATGATCATGCGACAGAATCATCCAATGAAATCATTAGAAACAACAGCAGTGTTTCAGCAGCATCCAATGATATGTTCAGAAACAACTCCAGTGAAATGTTCAGAAACAACCCCAGTGGTTCGATGACATCCACTGAAATATTTGGACACAAAAATCAACCAGCAATTTCAAGAAATGGCAGTTTTTTACCTGTTTCATCTGTAAACCGTCGTGATACAGTACCCTCAAATGGAATACCTATAAATAGGAACCATTTGTCAACAGCATCCAATGAAATGAATAGAAACCATGATGAAAGGTCACATTTGGCCAATGAAATGCAGCATTATAGTAGTAGTATGGGTTTAGATTTATCAATCAATAACAATGATTTTTCTAGAATGTACAATGAAAGATCTAGACTACCAAATATGTCTTCTGATAGAAGTTATGCAAACAACCATGTTTTATCCAGAATCCAAAATGGTCTAGGTGATAACCAAATAAAAATGGAGGGAAAAGAAAATCAAATATTTACCAATGGAATGGTACCAGAAACTGATACACATTTTATTCAAATGATGAACAACAATTCAAATGAATGGCGGAGAAGAAATTTTGTCGGCCAAAACAGAATAGTAAATGGTGAATCTGAAGGAAGTTCTGACGAGTCCGAAGTAGATATGGGTGAACAGCAGCATTTTCCCACTCCAAATTTAGGAGCAGACGTGTATGATGACCCAATGAACTAAGTCAAAACAATAGATCTGCAAAACTTTTTTAGTTGTTTATGTTTAATTATAAGTGTTGTGTGTACAATATGAGGTTACAATCCAAGAAAGAGGGACAAGGGCCCATATATTTAGTTGGTTTAATAGTTGCTTTTATTTGTTGTTTTATGTAAATAAATTGAAAGATTGCTTGTGCTTATCAATTTTCAAACTTTAGATTTTGTTTAAATTAGGCTAAAAAAGAATATAGTTCTGTTTCCTGTCTCTCTACCCTACCCTAACACTTATTATGAACTTTTATCATCAGGTTAAGCACTATTTAAAGTACAACATTATTTGATTAAGCACTGCTTAAGTCAAGAACATTCCCCTATATAGTCTATATAAAATATTTAAAAAATAAAATTATTTTATCTACCTACATACCCTAATTTTCGTCTAGAAGGCAGGAAAACAGGTTTATATTTTTTGCATTGCATTTTTGTTTGTTTTAATAAGTTATACATTATCAAAGATTTTTTTCCAGTGTGTTTCAATATTGTATTTTTTGAAGATTTTTGTTAAGTTTAGAATTTGTTTTCTATCCTTGTATTAGAATTTTCATATTCTAAAAAGGACCTCATAAAAACATCAAAAACAATAAAAATCTTAATAAGTTTTGAAATGTTGATAAAAGGGAGATAACTCTTGAATTTAAAAAAAACTATTGAATCTCATTTTGTCAAATTATTTGAATCTTTTTATTTAAAAAAAAGATACTATATATCTGCAGAGTTGTGGAATTCTTTATGAGAAATCCTTTTGTTTTTGTTGTTCTTTTTTTTTTTTTACACATAATTAACTTTATAACAAGTTAAAAAGTTTACATTTATATTTTTATATACTTATTTTAACACTTAAAATTAAAAATATTCATTATTGGATATGTTTTTTCAACAAGAAAAAACCAGAAACTTTCAAAGACATTTTGTAAACAAATGTTTTTTATAAATTAACCGAGAGGTATGAACTTTTCATAAAAATGTATTTTTGCAATTACTTTTTTCAAACCAAAGAACTTTTTGTTGTTATTATATATACAGATTTTATATATACTATTTGCACTGTTAAGATTATGATGACGATTTTGGTAAATTATTGATAGGTTGTCACCTTCAAATTTTAGTTACTATCTGAAAAAGTGATTTCTTATTTAAGTAGAGATAATTGATAATAAAAATAATAATTTTGTAAGTTCCGGGCAACGTTGACCAAAGATAGTTTTGTTGTTCTTTTTAGGTCCTTTTAAGCTGACATGGCCCATAGCATAAAGTGAGCTATTACCGTCACTTAGTGTCAGTCATCCATTGTCTGTTAGTCAACTTTTCACTTTTTAATTTATTTACACCAAAACTACAAAGCCGATGCGGACTGAAATAGGCAGAAATAATATAATGGTAAATAATTATGTTCTTTTTGAATGTTCCTCATTTTGTTTCAACAGTCTAAAAAACATGGCCATTAGTAGACTGATTTTTTTAAATCCAAGAAAATGCTTGAGTTGCAAAAATTTGAATTCACGCATAATGTGTAATTATTTCAACAAGATTGATGTTAAGATATCCCCTTTTATGTATTTAAGTCTTAATGGATTTTAAGATTTGATATGAGATAACGTTTACAGTGTACATTTTTTACTACTGTGAATTCGTCATCATTCGTGGGATACCAATTTTCGTGGTTACAGGGGAACCATGAATTTAATTGTTCAAAGAATTACAAATTTTCTATTGGAATGTATGCAGACTTTTGCAAAACCACGAAATCAAATATCCACAAAAATGCAAGTTTTCTTCGATCCATGAAAATTAGTACCCACTAAAAAATAAATGAATCCAGAGTTTATTTTTAGTTTATTTGGGTTTACATTTAGTACTGCTTTTAATGGTTGTTTTTTAAGGTTGTAAATATAGACTATTACTTGTGATATTTTTATTGCTTAAAAACATATGTACTTAACATGTATCCTTGAGAAGGAAGCATTCCACGTTAATTGATAAATATAGATAAAGTTTTTACTATGTCAAAACATTTGCCAAAATATTCAAATGTGAATACAAAAAACTTACATATTCATATTCAAAATCCCAAATTATAATTTACATTCATGTCACTTGAGTATTTCTTTTTTGTGTCATATTTCAATTCTAATCTTTTTTTTTCTTCATTATTGTCATTTCTTATCCATTTTATGTTGTTCATAAAAAGAAAAATAGACACAATTCACGGTTTCAGATTCTTAAAGATTATTGGTTACTTTATAGTTATACAAAAATAATGTCCCGCCATTGGTGGAATATTCATTGTGTTAGATCTTACTGACCAATCACCAAATTTGATGTATGATTTTGGAAATATTACAGAAAATGCATAAGTTGCTGTAACTGAACTTTTGATAGATAATATTTTCTTGCCATTTCAAGAAAAAATAATTCTTCTTTAAACTAAACTAATTCCTAGTAATCATTAAAAAACCTGTCACCGATTATTTTCCATGTTTTATTTTATGACATTTAAGCATAATTACTGATCTTCAAGCTTTTTTTATTTGTGTTCTACTTAATTGCTTGCTATTTTATTATATATTCCATAAGTAATACAAGTGATGTGAGTGTTATTTTAAAAACAGCATTTTTTAAAGAGTCTACAAATATTGAGTTTTATGTGTGTATATTGTGTATATTGTGTATATATATTTTTTTATAGAGAATAGAGAATTGGAGCTTTAAAGATTTACAAACAAATATGTGATGTAGAATATTTATTGGTGTCGTCTGTCACATGATAAATGTATAGTTGTGCTTGTATTGTTTGTTATAGAATTAGTCCAACATTAAGCCAAACAAAATTAATTGTCGCTTCTCACGTGCTTCCTCAAAAATTCAAATGTGACAGTGCATGAACTATTGTTGTGTCTGACTGTCTTTAGACACTGTGCTTTTCATTTTTTTCATGATTAGTTGAGATTAAGTAGACTCATCCTGCAGAAACTTTGTGGCAGTGATTTTTTAGCATTTAGCAAAGTTTAAAATATATATAGTTCTGTCTTTCTGTTGGGAGCAAAAGAGATGTTAAAAGTTTTTGATGTGCAGCATTTATTTTTAGCATTTTCATTGTAAAATATTGTTTCTGAATTATTCCAAGTCATTTAGTTTTCTCAAGGGGCCCTCAGTGGCTAACTGGTCTTAGTTCTCTACAGTGATCACTTGGCTGTCAACATTTGAGGTTTTGAGTTGGCACCTGAGAAGCTGAACTTTATTATATTTAGCCAAATTAGAATAAGTTATCTGTTCTTTCTTTTGTATATTGCAAAGCTTGTTTATTCCATTGAAAGTTTGTTTCTTGCCAAATTTTTTATTTCTCACACTTTTGATGGTTTTTGTGTGTTTTTTTAATTGTAATATTAAAATCTCTATTCATGTATACATGTATATATTAAACAGTCATCCAAAAATAGACAATTTTAAGAGTTGTATGGTCACATCAATTGGATTTATTTTTTCTTTGTCAGTTTTTTGACAATTTTGATTTAAATTGAAAATTTTCCTTCTCTGATATCATCTTTAATGTAATTAACTTGTTTCTTTAAAACTTAACTCCTCATTTCCAATTCAAGAATCTGAATTTTTTTTTAATAAAATTATATTTGCACTTGTTTCATTAAAAGTAATTTTCGGGGGTAGGAGACTCCTGTATGTTTGGGGGTTAGTTTCAGAAGGCACAATTTTGTTTTACCCTACTGTGCATACAAATTAAGTTTATATTTCATTCATTCCTGAAGACTCACCCTTTAGAAACAATAACCACATTTAAAATTTATTGTAATTTCCAAAGAGCCATGCATTTTAACCATTATGTCTACAAATGGTCAAAAGAAAAAAGTTTTAAAGCCTCTTTTTTGTTTCCCTAAAAAAATCAAAAGAACTGTAAAGAATGGTGCCTAATGAATGGAATTTCAATTTTTTTTTCATGTGATTTAATAGATTCCTGTAATTTTAATTTTGAGAATATTCTGTAGCTTTAAAAGATTGAGCCATACATATCAATAGAAACATCTTGCTAAGCATGTTTTCTTATTCATTTTATCTGAATCAAATGCATTCTGGGTAATATTTTCAAAAGTGTACACCAAAATGTTGTGATTGGCTAACAATGTCCTAAACAATGGTAATTTAACTAATGTTTGTTTAGGTTTTTATACATACTTGGCTTTCAAATATTCGGCATTGAGTGTTCCTGTTGAAGGTAAATCCAGAAAAACGCTTCAGCCGCATGAAATTTATAATGTGTTGTTTTCATTTTTGTTTCATTGACATTGTTTTCATTTTGGGGTACAAAAAAATGAGATTACCCATATATTGCTTTAGATTCTGAAATGGTGAATTGGAATTCAGGTTAATTGTAGTAAACAGCTTTTTAAAAGTTTTTCTTAGGTTGTGTCAGAGTTTATACCATGTTAGAAATAGTTTGTTTTTATCTGTCTAATTGCATCATTTTCTGAAATCTTCTGAATTAATCTCACATGTTTGTCCATTAATTAACAAAAGCATTAATAAATGCATGCAGCAATTTCAATAGTACTAATACTACATAGGAAAAAAGACATATCATCTGGTTATTGGTAAAATTGCTTTGTATATTTCTGACAACATGGATGTAGTGTCATTTGAGTTCAGAACTCATCTCCGCATATTCAATTTTTTACTAAGTATTCTTTGTTGGAACAGGGTACAAAATGTGATTTACATTTGGGCATTCAAATATATTTTATTCAATGGTTTTTCCAAAAGCTGACTATTCTGTAAATTCCTTGGTGCTTTTCACTGTTTTATTATATCAAATGTCCAATTTTTGCATTTAAGTAATATTTTTGTGCTTTATATTAATGTACTGTATTATTTTTGAAAAAGTTTTTTTTCCACATCTGTATTATAAAATCTTATCTTGCCGGATTATATATCTTTTTTACATTATGTTGTTTGCAATCATATATTTTATGTTCATATGAAAGTTGGTTTTTGTTGTTGGGTTGCTGTCTCCTTAACATGTAACCTAGGTCACAGAGTTTTTGGTAATTTAATTCTTGTCAAATAGAACCGATTGTAGTCTGCACCAAAGACATTTTTAAAAACTCAGTCTTCATGTCCAATATTTTTTTTTCTATTTACCTTAGCAAATTGTTTTCTCATTACTTTAAGCCTGAACCAATATTTACTAGTGTTGACCATAGGGCTTGTGACTTAAGGTGCAGACTTCAGTATTGGATATAAAAGGAAATATTTTTGAGAGAATCACCCACAATCACCAGCATTCACTGTGAAAATTCACAAAGAAGAGTGAAATTTAACTGTATCAGCTTGTGTTAATTGTACTTGCCACAAAATCAGTTTTATACCCACACCTGCTTGCAAATATCTACTAGTAATAATTCTTTTGTATAATAACAGCATACTATCATGAGGTCCAGGCTCTTACAGAATGCAAGAGATAGAGCACCTTTGGCAA